AATTTTTCAAAATCTCCTAAAACAAAAAATTGTCATGAAAAATAGAGTTTCCAGTGCAAAATATTGTGCAGAATAAAAATAAAAACGTGCAAAAATAGAAAATATTTAAATAATTATTATTTATTAGCATTCACACACAATATTTCACAAAGTCCCAATTTTTTTTTTTCCTAATTTTTTTTGCTTTTCGTGCACAAATTTTCAAAATCTCCTAAAACAAAAAATTGTCATGAAAAATAGAGTTTCCAGTGCAAAATATTGTGCAGAATAAAAATAAAAACGTGCAAAAATAGAAAATATTTAAATAATTATTATTTATTAGCATTCACACACAATATTTCACAAAAGTCCCAATTTTTTTCTTGGACAAATTTTTTTCCTAATTTTTTTTGCTTTTCGTGCACAAATTTTTCAAAATCTCCTAAAACAAAAAATTGTCATGAAAAATAGAGTTTCCAGTGCAAAATATTGTGCAGAATAAAAATAAAAACGTGCAAAAATAGAAAATATTTAAATAATTATTTTTTATTACCATTCTCACACAATATTTCACAAAAGTCCCAATTTTTTTGGGTGCACAAATTTTTCAAAATCTCCTAAAAACAAAAAATTGTTATGAAAAATAGAGTTCCCAGTGCAAAATATTGTGCAGAATAAAAATAAAATCATGCAAAAATGTGAAAAAATAAAAAAATAGTGTTAATTAATTTAAATTATTATAAATTATATATTTATATAATTTTTTTCCAAAAATTTGGTAAAATTTTAATTCGAAACGGTGTTAAAAAACTGTTTTAAAAACTTGTGTTTAAATAAAATTATACGCAAGTTTTATATTTTAAAAGTATTATTTCCAAATTATTTTGGTTTATGTAAATAGTGTTGAATTATATTAAATAATATTTTTAGATTTTTTAAAATTTGTGAATATTATATTCAAAGTGGTGCAAATTTGTAAATATTAATTTGGTGCAAACTAAATATTTTTTGGTGTACTAAAATTGTTTTAAACTTTTATCTAATAAATTGTGTTAGTAAAATTAATTAAGTGTAAGTTTTATATTTAAAAAGTGTTTTTTTTTTAATTATTTTGGGCCCCAAAAAATGTTGTCAGACTTAGTTTTTTATTTAACAAAATTTTTGGTAAAATTTCATGCAATTTTGGCAAGAGTGTTTTTCAAAATATTTTAAAGTCTTTAAAAATATTTATTTAAACAAAGTCAATAGTGGATTAAAATATTTTATAACAAATATGTTTAACTAATTTGTTTATATATCATATCTAGCAAATATTTCATGCTTTTTACCAATAATATTATTGACCTCCAATTTTTTGCTCGGAATTTAACACATATCTAATATTTTATGCAAATTGTTTATAAAATGATATTTCTACTAATGTTTTCTGTCAAAATTTTAGTTTTTTTCAAGAAAAACCAAAATAAAATGCTAATTTTTATCTACATAATTACTATTTTTGTAACTCAATACCAATTGTAAATTCTTTTGTCAAAATCCAAAAAGATTTATCGAAATTCGACTAGCCTTTCAAGAAAAATGATATTATATATATATATATATATATATATATATATATATGTAATATTTTTGCAGCCTAATCGTCGAATTAAAAAAAGATTAAATAACAAAATTATTTATTCCATTAAACGTTTTGACACTTGATGTGTGTCATCATTTAGTAATCAAACCAGGAAAAACAACAGAAAAATTAATTATGATGTAAAATTGATTGGACACTAAATTTGTGTAAAATAATAAAATACTATTATATTAACAAACGAGTTTCATGTTATTAATAGCGGTGCATTATGGACACTGATCAAGGTTACAACGCAAGTGTAGTGAAGGAGTGGATATATATATATATATATATATATACATATTTTTTTTACTAAAGATTTTCATCCACTTCTGACTTTGTTTAAATAATTTGTTGTTAATTTGTTCTTAATTTATTTAAACTATTTTTGTTAATTTTTTTAGAAAAGAAATGAGTAAAAATTATGATGTATACTTGACGGCGTCCAAATAGTGTTCAGGATGAAATTTTTGTTGGGCCTTAGAACCGACTTCTTCCAAGCACTGCTCTATTGGTTTACCTAAAAAATAAATAGACATATAAAATCAAATGTAAATCATAAATCAATTTATCTCCGGAACATCTGTTTTAACATAATTCAAATTTTTGTAAATCAATACCAATTGTAAATTCTCTTGACAAAATCCAAAAAGTTTTATCGAAATTGGACTAACCGTTCAAGAGAAATTATATATATATATATTCAATCAAGTTTTATTCAAAACTTTTATATTGAAGAAAACAAAAAGTTTGAGATGAATCTGTAGTGAATTTTATCTAGTTTCTGCTAAGTTAATTAGAAAAGAGTGCACAATACAAAGTTTTCGAGATATTTGCAAAAATGTAAAAAAATGTACCAAATTTTGGTATAGTCACAGTCTAAACGCATTTTCAAATATTTCTGTGCGACATTTTCACTTATACTGAGCTTATCTCGGCAGCATTTTCAAATTTTTCAATAGTTTTTCTCACAAAATTGGAAAAGTGCTCCAATACATAAACAGTCTAAACGCACTTGGGTAAATATTTGTACCGGAGTGGCGCTTAGACTGTGCTTAGCCTGGGTGATTTTTTGAATTTTTGATCTAAAATTACAAAAATATTTTATGGAAAATAAAAAAGGATGTAATGATTTTTTAACCTAAAAAAATGTGGACGAAAAAATGCGGACATACAAAACACACACACACACACACACATCCATTAGTTTTCTGAGGTATGCCAAAATGTTCAGAAACCTTCAAAACGTCGAGAAATGCAAAAATTTTCGGGAAGTTATTTAGTAATTGTGTAAAAAGTACCAGTGAACTATTTTTCACAAAATTTTAGAAAAACCAATTCCAAAGACAAAAAAGAACATGGCATATCATTCTACAAAAACTTTTTGCTGTATAAATAAAAAAATTACTTATTATATTATTATTTATTATATTATATTTATTTTTTATTATATTTACCAGTATCTACAGAATTCGCCAAAGCCTTCTTCACAGAAGCAGAATCCATAGTTCGTAAATTCGTGGCCAATCCCAAAGCTGCAAAAACTCTGATGAAGGCGGTGGAGCAACCGGAGCCTGGAAGGTATGCAAAATATTATAAGCAACTTGCCAATAGGCATAATTGGTTAGGCATGTTGGGTGTCTGGGAAAAGAGCTTTGAGAGCAGATTCTAAATGTGTAAACAAATTTAATTTATGATATTGCTTTTGGAATTTATTTAAAAAAAACAACAGGTACCCGAAAAATTCATAGCAACTTGCCTATAGGCAAACCTATAGTACGTGTGACATGTCTATGGGTAGAGCTCAAACAGCAGCTTTTAAATGTGTAAACAAATTTAATTTTCAATATTGTACATTTAATTTAATTATAAAAAATGTGGTAGAGTATCAAAAAGTTGAACAGGTACTAGAAAAATTAATAGCAACTTGCCAATAGGCTAACTGATAATACATGTTGGGTGTCTATGGATAGAGCTCAATAAGCAGAATACGAATTTCTAAACCAATTTAATTTGCAATATTGCAGTTTGAATTTAATTTTAAAAAAATGTGGTGAAACATCTAAAAGTTGAACAAGTTCCAAGAAGATTAATAGCAACTTGCCACTAGGCAAATTGGTAAGGCATGTGTGGTGTCTATTGATAGAGCTCAAAAAGCAGAATACAAATTTCTGAACAAATTTAATTTGCAATATTGTATTTTTAATTTAATTTTAAAAAAATGTGGTAGAGCATTAAAATGTTGAACAAGTACCAGAAAAATTAATAGCAACTTGCCAATAGGCAATTCAATAAGTGCATGTGACATGTCTATGGATAGAACTCAAAAAGCAGAATGCGAATTTCTAAACCAATTTAATTTACAATATTGCAGTTTAAATTTATTTAAAAAAATGTGGTGGAACATCTAAAAGTTGAACAAGTTCCAGAAAAATTAATAGCAACTTGCCAATTGGCAAACTGATAGTACATGTGACGTATCAATGGATAGAGCTCAAAAAGCAGAATATAAATTTCTAAACCAATTTAATTTGCAATATTGCAGTTTGAATTTAATTTTTAAAAAATGTGGTGGAACATCTAAAAGTTGAACAAGTACTATAAAAATTAATAGCAACTTGCCAATAGGCAAACTGATAAGAGCATGCAAGGTGTCTATGGATAGAGCTCAAAAAGCAGAATACGACTTTATAAACCAATTTAATTTGCAATATTGCAGTTTTAGTTAAATTTAAAAAAATGTGGTGATGCATCAAAAAAGTTGAACAAGTACCAGAAAAGTTAATAGCAACTTGCCAATAGGGAAACTGATATTACATGTGGGGTGTCTATGGATAGAGCTTAATGAGCAGATTCCAAATGTGTAAACCAATTTAATTTGCAATATTGCAGTTTGAATTTAATTTAAAAAAAATGTGGTAAGCATCAAAAAGTTGAACAAGTGCCAGAAAGATTATTAGCAACTTGCCAATAGGCAAATCGATAAGTGAATGTGACGTGTCTATGGATAGAGCTCAAAAAGCAGATTATAAATATGTAAACAAACTTAATTTATAATTGTGCAGTTTTGATTTTATTTAAAAAAAAGTGGTGAAGCATCTATAAGTTGAATAAGTTCCAAGAAGATTAATAGCAACTTGCCAATAGGCAAACCGATAGTACATGTGACGTGTCTATTGATAGAGCTTAATGAGCAGATTCTAAATGTGTAAACGAACGTAAATTATAATATTGCAGTTTGAATTTAATTTAAAAAAAGGTGGTGCAGCATCAAAAATTTGAACAAATACCAAGAAAACTATTAGCAACTTGCCAATAGGCAATTTGATAAGTGCATGTGACATGTCTATGGATAGAGCTCAAAAACCAGATTCCAAATGTGTAAACCAATTTAATTTGCAATATTGCAGTTTAAATTTATTTAAAAAAAATGTGGTGGAACATCTAAAAGTTGTACAAGTACCAGAAAAATTATTACCAACTTGCCAATAGGCAATTCAATAAGAGCAAGTGACATGTCTATGGATAGAGCTCAAAAAGCAGAACATGAATTTATAAACCAATTTAATTTGCAATATTGTAGTTCAGATTTATTTAAAAAAAATATGGTAGAGCATCATAATGTTGAACAAGTACCCGGAAAATTAATAGCAACTTGCCAATAGGCAAACTGTTTGTACATGTAGGGTGTCTATTGATAGAGCTCAAAAAGCAGATTCCAAATGTGTAAACCAATTTAATTTGCAATATTGCAGTTGGAATTTATTTGAAAAAAATGTGGTGAAACATCTAAAAGTTGAACATCTAAAAGTACCAGAAAAATTAATAGCAACTTGCCAATAGGCTAACTGATAGTGCATGTGGGGTATCTATTGATAGAGCTCGGAGAGCAGATTACAAATCTGTAAACAAATTTAGTTTGCAATATTGCAGTTTTAGTTAAATTTAAAAAAATGTAGTAGAGCATCAAAAAGTTGAACAAGTACCCGGAAAATTATTAGCAACTTGCCAATAGGCTTTTCAATAAGTGCATGTGATATGTCTATGGATAGAGCTCAAAAAGCAGAATACGAATTTCTAAATCAATTTAATTTGCAATATTGCAGTTTGAATATATTTTAAAAAAATGTGGTAGAGCATCAAAAAGTTGAACGAGTACCAGAAAAATTAATAGTAACTTGCCAATAGGCAAATTGATAAGTACATGTGGGGTGTCTATTGATAGTGCTCAAAAAGTAGATCACGAATTTAGTATTAAATTTGATTTATATTGTTATATAAGAGATTCAGAAGACAAAAACCAATATTCAAAATAAAACTACTTTTTTTTTGGTAAAAATAAGTGTTGGGTCACTTTTTAAGATATCATATTAGTTGCATTGAATTAGAACTTCATCCTGCTGATGCATTAGAGTATTTTTAACACTTTTGGCTTAATTTTTTACTTATTTTTATCAAAATATTGATTTATTTTAAATTTTTACCATAAGTTCCATATTCTCCAGATTGATAATCCCATGGTAGCATATAGTGGTAACTTGGCCAGTAGGATTTTGTGATGAAGAAAATCATGTTGCTGTCTGAAGGATACCTAAAAATATAAAACAAATTAATAAAAATCAAAATATTGATAAGAAAATTATTAATAAAACACGTTAACACCACAGAATATATTATTAGTGTGTAAGTAAGATGGCAAGTTTCTGGTGATATTTTTCCAAACTTTGGCTTGTAACTTCTGAAGTAATAAAGATAAATTAAAGTTGTCTTTGGGTAAATCATAGCTAATAGTATAAGCTATATATGTGCTATACAACATGTCTTTCTATAACCACTTTTTGGTACAAAAAAAACCTTAACAAATCTTTAACACTTTAGTCCAACCTGCGGCCACCACTTTTCTAATATCTTCCACAACAAGTTAAAATATTAAAATTTTTATACAGAAAAAAATAGTTTAAGTACTATTGAGTACTATTTAATATTATTTATCACTATTTAATACTATTTTATCAATTTTTCCTATTTTTTTACCTTTCTCCTCGTTTAATTCCCCAAACATGCCTTGCAGAATTTATCAACCAGGATGCATGAAGGGCCAAAAGGTATCTTGTGCATCCAATTATGAAGAAACTGTTGACAAAATTTTCGCCCCAGTATTCCATCGGAGCATTGATTGGCAGCAAAAGTGTTAGGATTATGTACATTGGCCAGTAGAACCTGCAGGAAAAAAATTAGGACGATAAGTCAACCCTTTGGTAAAGGTGAGTAGTAGATTGTTGGTTGGATTTGATTTGTTGTATGGGTTGTAATTTTTTATGGGTTTGTGTGAAGTGGATGCTGTGTATGGGTGATTTGTAGTATATTGAATTGTGTATAAAGTTGTCTAAGGTTGTATGGACCTACATCAACTTGATATACTTTAAAAACGTATTTGAAATTTGGCAGTGAAGTTGAGAGCCCTAAACTGGTTTGTGAATTTATTTACCAAAATTCTTATAACTTCTAAACTATTTGTCCAACCTAAAAAAAATCTTTAGCAAATTTATACAAAATTGCATGATCAACCACATTGTCTAACATCAAAATATCCTACAACAATTCCTTATAAAAAATTGGCTCAATTAGTCAACCCTTTGGTTAAGGTGGGTAGTGGATTGTTGGTTGAATTGTTTTGTTGTATGGCTTGTAAATTTTGATGGGTTTGTGTTAAGTGGATGGTGTGTATGGGTGATTTGTAATAAATTGAATTGTGTATAAAGTTGTTTAAGGTTGTCAGGACCTACAGCAACTCTGTATACTTCAAAAACGCATTCGAAATTCGGCAGTAAAGTTGAGAGCCTTAAACTGGTTTGTCCATTCATTTACCAAAATTCTTGTAACTTCAAAACTATTTGTCCAACCTAAAAGAAATCTTCAACAAATTTATACAAAATTGCATGACCTATAACATTGTCTAACACCAAAATACCCTACAACAACTTCTTATAAAAAATTGGCCCGATTAGTCAACCCTTTGGTTAAGGTGGGTAGTTGATTGTTGGTTGAATTTTGTTCGTTTTGGTGATGATAACTTTTGATGGGTTTGTGTGAAGGGGATGGTATGTATAAGTGATTTGTGAGAAATTGAATTGTGTATAAAGTTGTCTAAGGTTGTATGGACCTACAGCAACTCGGTATACTTAAAAAACGCATTTGAAATTAGACAGTGAAAGTGAGTACCTGAAACTGGTTTGTGCATTCATTTACCATGTCTCTTGTAACTTCAAAACTATTTGTCCAAACTAAAAGAAATCTCTAGCAAATTTATACAAAATTGCATGACCTGTGACATTGTCTAACATCAAAATACCCTACAATAACTCCTTATAAAAAATTGGCTTGATTAGTCAACCCTTTGGTAAAGGTGGGTAGTGGATTGTTGGTTGAATTGCTTTTGTTTTGTTAATGGTAACTTTTGATGGGTTTGTGTGAAGTGGATGGTATGTATGGGTGATTTGTAGTAAATTGAATTGTGTATAAAGTTGTCTAAGGTTGTAAAGACCTACAGCAACTTGGTATACTTCAAAACTGCATTTGAAATGCGGCAGTAAAGTTGAGTACCTGAAACTGGTTTGTGCCTTCATTTACCAAAATCCGTATAACTTCTAAACTATTCATCCAAACTATAAGCAATCTTTAGCAAATTTATACAAAATTTCACGATCTCCAACATTGTCCTACACCAAAATACCCTACAACAACCCCTTATACCCATAAATCCATTCCCCAACTTACGATTTCTGGAACATGACCACCTTGTCCTTCTCCAAATCGCTCATGTCCTGCTGCTCCAGCAGCCTTTCCTGCTCCGGGCTGTAGCCCTGGAGCTGGTGGACGATTTGGGACTTAAAAAGGTCCTTGTTGCTGTAAAAAGGGTCCTTGTCGGTGTCTAAAGTTGCATGATGTAGCCTGTGGGAACGAACCCAACTGTAGATACTTCCCTGGAAGGAAAGAGGATAAGGGTTAGATTTATGGCATACGTGTGCCACTTAATATTAATAAATTATATTTAGAAATGAAACCGTAAATAAATGTTGTAGACTCGATGATAATGTGAGTTTATTGATAACTCAATTTACAACGAAACTGATATGATATAAATTTTGATATCAATTTATTAGCCCGAAAATTGATCGCTGACTAAAACCGAGAAAACAATTTTACGATCGTGAAAACAATAATCTAGCTAAAGCTTGCTAGATGCGACATTCGCATCAGCGTAGCTCCAAGTGTGCTGTGTAGTTTAGTCATCAAATTGGCGTCAATCAACTGACATCTGTCAAGAACATTTTCATTCCGCCACAGATTTTTAGGGTTTGTGGTTGTAAGTTAAAAAATAGTTCTTGGAGGTGGTTGGTGTGTATAAAAAATATGTCGGGGATGATTTTGGGTAAAAGATTGTTATATATGACAAAAGTGTAGGAGCACGTTTAGTATTTTTAAATAATTTTTAAAGTTCGAAGTTTGTAGGTGCTAAAGTTGTAGTAGATAGATACTTCACTGGAAGAAAAGAGGATAGAGGTTAGTTTTTTGTGTTTTTGGCTGTAAGTTGTTAAATAATTGTTGGAGGTAGTTGTTGTGTATGAAAAAGTTGTTGGGGATGATTTTGGGTAAAATATTGTCATATATGAGAATAGTGTAGGAGTGCGTTTAGTATTTTTAAATAATTTTCAAAGTTCAAAGTTTGGAGGTGCTAAAGTTGTAGTAGATATATACTTCCCTGAAAGGAAAGATGATAGAGGTTAGATTTTTAGTGTTTTTTGGCTGTAAGTTGGAAAATAGTTGTTGGAGGTGGTTGGTGTGTATGGAGGATTTGTTGGCGATGATTTTAGGTAAAAGATTGTTATATATAACAATAGTCTAGGAGTGCGTTTTGTATTTTTAAATGATTTTCAAAGTTTGTAGTTTGAAGGTGCAAGGGTTATTGTGTTTTTGTTTGTTGTTTTGAGAATGACTTGTAAACTATTGCTTAGATTTGCAAACTATATTAGAAAGAATTATTGGTAAAAGAATTACCTATTAGTTCGTCATATGTGATAGTTTTGTAAAATCACTTTTTATATTTTTAACATATTTTCAAAATTTGGTTAAGGTAAAGGACAAGAGTGCAAATTTCGTGTAGAGTCTACGTACGAATTGTACATTTTGGTTCGTAATGTCTAAAAAAATCACTATATTTAAAATCTATTTATACACAATCTTTATAAAATTATCTTTTATCTGTTAGTTACTTTTATTTATAGTTTTGTCGCAAATCGAATCTTTAAAACCAATAAATGCATAAGTTTACTTGTTTTACGTAAATTAAACAGGTTTTGTGTGAATGCATATGCATATTTTTGATCATAACTTTTAAAGTAAGAATTGCATTTAAAAATAGTCTTCTAGAAGTCATTTTGCATAAAAATATTTATAAACTGTACATATATATTGATGTTATGAAAGTGCAAAATATGTATATAAATTGCTTGTAAACTTTGACAATGTCTTATCGAAAGTAAGGTACTAATTTGGGTTATAACTTTTAACCTAATTTATATATTTAAAATCTATTTATATAAAAATTGTCTTTATGAAATTGTTAACTATTACTCCATATACAACTAGTTAATATAGTTTATAGTTTTGGCACAAAAAACGAAGAATACAAATATATATATATATATATATATATATATATATTTATATATATATATATACAATAAGTCTTATAATTAATAATTTAATTTTATGGTCTTAAAATATGTGTGAAGTTTTATAGTTGGAACTATTTTTAAATTATGTAAATGTCTAAATATTACATTAAAAAATTTATACTAAAATGTCTTCAATAATAAAAAAAATATTTAAATAAACTTTTTAAGAGTTCATAAGTATAAGACATTTTTTAAGCTCCACCTTCAATAGATTTTAATAATTTAGACTTACGTTTGAAAGTTATTTAAAAATATAAAATGTACCCCTACAAAAATGTTATGTATAACAAACTAATAGATAATTGATTTCTTAATAATTCCTTCTAATACAATTTTTAAATCAAACTGTTATTTAACAAGTTATTCTCAAAAATATAAAAAAAGCATTACAAATTAGGCACGTACTTGAACTCTACGTTAACAAAATTTTGAAAATTATTTAAAAATATAAAACGTACTCTTACAAAAATATCATATATAACAAAAGTATAGATAATTTTATCATAAACAAATCTTTTGAAGACAGTTTTTAAATCCAACGCTTATTTTGCAAGTAATACTAAAAAAAAACTAAGACATCTATAATTTATATAACAGTTCTCATACAAAATCGTTCGATTTACACTCTAACAATAAGAAAATATTAAGAAACACTTTTCAAGTGTTTGAATAAGTGTAGAAAGTGCTTAAGGCTTGGCCTATATTATATTTATAAATATACATACATACATATATATATTATATATATATATATATATATATATACATATAATATTTATACTTTAAACACGTCGAAGAATTTTCTTACATAACCGAGTGTTAATTGACAATTACTTTATTATATGCAAAAGAAGGTTTTTTCTAAAAAGATCTATTCAAGTGTCAACTTTCTCACTTTTTTGCATCAACTGCACTCATCGAATGCTTCTACTAACCTTTTATGAAGTGCATTTTGCAATATTGCAAAAGATACAGTTGTTAAAAATTATTTTATGACCGTAAATAAAGTAATTTAATGAGCAAACATTAATTTGTTTTGAAAATTGATAGAAAAAGTAACTAGGTGTAATTTATATTATATATATAATTTATATTATTTATATATATATTGATTATTTTTAAAGTTATAGTCAAAACTATCACATTTGTATCCTGCAGTAATGCTCTTTTTATATTAAGCCATTTGTGGTGTATTTAGATTTTTGAAAATAACTTGTAAAATATTAGTTTGATTAAAAAATTGTGTTAGAAAGTATTATTAATAATTCAATTATCTATTAGTTTGTTATATAAAATATTTTTGTAGGAGTACGTTTTATATTTTTAAATAATTTTCAAAATTACGTGCATAATTTGTAAGTGCCTAATTTGTAGTGCATTTTTTATATCCTTTAGAATTTTATAAATGTTATTATTATTAACTAAATTATATATTTAAAAGAGTATAAAAGTAAAAGTATTTCTTGGAATATTTTTGGGTAAACACATTCGGTTTATTTATTTTGTCTATTTGTGGTTTAAATAAAGGTTTTCCCATTTATATGAAATTTTTTGTAGAAATATATTTACCAATCTATATATTTAAAAAAAATATTTATTCAATTACGTACAAAGTATTTTTCAGAAAATCACAATCAAACGTTCAAAGTTTAGTCTAATAAATATTAATATATTATAATTATTGAATAGTTTCGTTCGAGAATATTATTTCCGATTGATTTTTCATACAATAGCAAATGTAAATGAATTTACATTGAATTCGTTGAACTTTGAACTTTTCTTTTCCAAACTAACAGTTTGCTTTGTAATTAAATATTGCATTGTAATTAGAAATTTACTTTATTTAGTACAACCTTTAAGGTAAAATTGGATCTGAAAAATAAACTATGTTTTGTTTTAAAATTATTGAAACCATTTGCTGACATTGAAAATAAAATGTAATTGTTGAAAATAATTGCTAAAGTTATTGCAAAAAACAAATGGATTTGAATAATTATTTAGATAATATAAGGAAAAACCTTGGGTGTTATCAAAAACAAATATTAGGTTTGAACAAAAATAAAATAAATTAAATAAAAGCTAAAATTGTATAGATATTTCTATGTAGGATTTGTGCTAACAAATACTAACTTTTTATACTAATAATTGTTTAAATTAATTTGTTACTATTTTATATTTTAATAGACATATTTAGGTATAACATACCAAAATTATAGTTCAAAAAAATTAATACTTTGTTTATGGTAAATTTTTAAAAACTGACTTGATGTTCTTACACCAAATTTTGTTTGTGGTACGGACTTTGTTCAAGTAATAACTGATTTTTTTTTATTAAAAATTGTTTAATTGAATTATTTTTATGCCAAATTATTTTAGGCATATTTAGGTTTAACATACCAAAATTTTAAGAATTTAGAGCGAGTAGTTTATTTATACTGAATTTTCAAAGTTGACATTCTTTTTCTAATTTCAGAACTAGATCATTCTTGAGAACTTTACGCAACTAGTTACTGATTTTATATACTAATAATTATTTTTACTAAATTTTTACAATTTTATATTTTAATAGACATATTTAGGTATAACATACCAAAATTATAGTTTAAAAAAACTAGCACTTTGTCTAGAATTAATTTTTTTAAAGTAAACTTTATGATTTTATACTAAATAAGTTTTGCTTCTAGTACGTACTTTGTTCAAGTGATTACTGAATTTTTTGATTAAAATTTTTTTTAACTAAATTATTTTTATGCCAAATTATTTTAGGCATATTTAAATATAACATATCAAATTTTGAACAATTTAGAGCAAGTAGTTTATTTATACTGAATTTTCAAAGTTGACATTTAATCAACTAGATTTTTGTTGGGTATTTTGCGCTTCAAATATCGATTTTGTACTAATAATTAATAAAATTAAACTTTTAATATTTTTCCGTATAACAGACATGTGTATTAGTAACATACTAAAATTATGATAATTTAGAAGTAATAATATATTTTTGCCGAATTTTGAAAATTGACATTATTTTTCTAAATTTAGAACTAGATCTTTCTTGGGTACTTTGCGCCAAGAGTTACTGATTTTATATACTAATAATTATTTATACTAAATTTTTACGATTTTTCTGTATAACAGACATGTATATTAATAACATACTGAAATTATAATAATTTATAATTAATATTATATTTTTGCCGAATTTTCAAAGTTGACTTTTTTTCTAATTTCAGAACTAGATCTTTCTTGGGTACTTTGTGCATTAGTTCCTGATTATATATACTAATAATTATTTTTACTATTTTTCTGTATAACAGACATGTATATTAGTAACATACTGAAATTATAGTAATTCCGAACTAATATTAAATTTTGCCAAATTTTGCAATTTCAGCTTAATTTATTAAATTTAGTACTAGATCTTTCTTGGGTACTTTGCGCAATTAGTTACTGATTTTATATACTAATAATTATTTTTATTAAATTTTTACTATTTTTCTGTATAACAGACATGTATATTAGTAACATACTAAAATTAAAATAATTTAGAATTAATATTAAATTTTGCCGAATTTTGCAATTTCAACTTAATAAATTAAATTTAGTACTAGATTTTCTTGGGTACTTTGCGCAATTAGTTACTGATTTTATATACTAATAATTATTTTCACCAAATTTTTAATATTTTTCTTTATAACAGAAATGTATATTAGTAACATACCGAAATAATAATAATTTAGAATTAATAATACATTTTTGCCGAATTTTTAAAGTTGACTTCATTTTTATAATTTCAGAACTAGATCTTTCTTGGGTATTTTGCGCTTCAAATATCAATCTCATATACTAATAATTGGAAAAATTAAATTTTTAATATTTTTACGTATAACAGATATGTAGGTATATTAGTAACATACTGAAATTATAATAATTTAGAATTAATAATATATTTTTGCCGAATTTTGAAAGTTTTTTTATTTAATTTTTCAAAATTTAGTACTAGCTTGGGTACTTTGTACTGATTTTATATACTAATAATTATTTTTACGAAATTTTTACTATTTTTCTGTATAATAGACGTACTTGTTATTGACATACTAAATTTAGAATAATTTATAACTAATGGTTTATTTAATATAAATTTTTAAAAAATTAGTTCATTCTAAATATTGTGGAAATTTGTCTTTAGTAGTCTCGAAAAATTGCTAAAATTTCATAAAATATTAACTTGATCATTTTGCTGTCTATGAGAAATTTATAGTTGATTAAATTTTCAACAAAAAAAAAATAAAATTTTTTTGTACGACTAATAATTTTAGAGTTATAACAACTCTAAAATAGCATATTAAGAAAAGTCTCGCAAAATTACCAACATCTCATAAAATATTAAACTTATTACATAACTATTTTCGGCACTTTTATAGCTTAATAAATTTACTATAAAAAATTATTAAAGAAATTTTTCCAAGCGACTAATAATTTTAGAGTTATTTAAACCAAAAAAAAGCATATTAAATTTCTCATTTTAAATGCAAGTTTGATGGAGTTTGATTTAACAGCAACGTTTCGCAAAATTTGTAATATCTTATAAAATATTAAACTTAATACGTAACTATCTTTGGCACTTTTATAGCTTAAGAAATTTACAATAAAAAATTATTAAAGAAATTTTTTGGTACGACTAATAATTTTAGAGTTATATCAACTAAAATAGCATATTAAAATTTGTTTATATTAAATGCAAGCAATGGAGTTTTATGTAACATGTAACGTCTGGCAAAATTAGTAATATCTTATAAAATATTAAATATATTACATAACTATCTTCGGCACTTTTATAGATTATTAAATTTACAATAAATAATTATTAATAAAAATTTCTGTACGACTAACCATTTTAGAGTTATAACAACTCAAATAAAATAGCACTTTAAAAATTTCTCATTTTAAATGCAAGCAATGGAGTTTGATGTAACAGGAACGTCTCGCAAAATTAGTAATATCTCAAAAAATATTAAACGTATTACATAACTTTCTTTGGTACTTTTATAGCTTAATGAATTTAGAATAAAAAATTATTTAAAAAAAAATCCGTACGACTAATAATTTTAGAGTTATAACTACTCAAAAATAGCATATTAAAATTTGATCATATTAAATGCAAGTTTGATGGAGTTTGATGTAACAGCAACGTCTTCGCAAAATTAGTAATATCTCATAAAATATTAAACTTATTACATAACTATCTTCGGCACTTCTATAGCTTAATAAATTTACTTTAAAAAATTATTTATAAAAAATTTCAGTACGACTAATAATTTTAGAGTTCAACTAATCAACTCAAAAATAGCATATTAAAATTTGTTCATATTAAATGCAAGTTTGATGGAGTTTGATGTAACAGCAAGGTCCTTACAAAATTAGTAATATCTCATAAAATATTAAACTTATTACGTAACTATCTTTGGCACTTTTATAGCTTAATAAATTTACAATAAAAAATTATTAATAAAAATTTTCCGTACGACTAATAACTTTAGAGTTATAACAACTCAAAAATTGCATATTAAAATTTGTTCATATTAAATGCAAGTTTGTTGGAGTTTGATGTAACACTAACGTCTTGCAAAATTAGTAATATCTCATAAAATAATAATCTTATTACATAACTATCTTCAGCACTTTTATAGCTAAATAAATTTACAATAAAAAATTATTAAAGAAATTTTTCCGTACGACTAATAATTTTAGAGTTATAACAACTCAAAAATAGCATATTAAAATTTGTTCATATTAAATGCAAGCAATCGATGTAACGTTTTGCCAAATTACTAATATCTCATAAAATATTAAATCTATTACATAACTATCTTTGGCACTTCTATAGCTTAATAAATTTACTTTAAAAAATTATTTATAAAAAATTTCAGTACGACGAATAATTTTAGAGTTATATTAACCCAAAAAAAAGCATATTAAAATTTGTTCATTTTAAATGCAAGTTTGATGGAGTTTGATGTAACATCAACGTCCTGCAAAATTAGTAATATCTTATAAAATATTAAACTTATTACATAACTTTCTTTGGTACTTTTAAAGCTTAATAAATTTACCATAAAAAATTGTTTATAAAAATTTCCGTACGACTAACCATTTTAGAGTTACATCAAATCAAAAATAACTATGCAATCCGAGACAATTCATACGAGTTTTATGAGTTTACTTCAACTTTGCACCAGATTTTTTTTATCAGAGTCTTTTACCAACTTACCAATAGGCACAAATAAATTCTCAATAACTAATTTAAATATTTTTGAAAATATTTTGTACTTACAGTTCCCGCCAAAGTCTGACAAAGCATCAAAAAAATTCTAAGACTTTTATTTGCAGTATAAGATTTATGTGTCCAAAGTCTATGGGCACCACAAGTCGATCCCAAAACGCCTAAACTTAATAAAAGTAAACCTAAAAATATTAAAATATTATAAATAAATAATAATAACAAATATTAAAATTATTAAAAATATTTTTTCCATATTTTTTTCATATTTCTATTACTATTTACCGAATAAATTCGTCAAAAGTTTTGCCTTAAAAATCGCAGCCACTCCGTAAATTCCCAAAACGTGAATGTATAAGAAAAAAAGCACTGCTGGCCAACTCGTGGTTCTTTTTGAGTCTTCAGGATTTTGTTTGATAGTCGGTTCCGCAGTTTGGCCTTCACTGGCACTCGCCGTCTTAGACGAGGCGTCGGTTTTGTCTGAAAGAAGAAAAAAATGTCAGATTTTGATTGGATTTTAAAGTATACCGAGTTGCTGTAGAGTATTATAATGTTAGACAATATTAAAGATGATTTAATTTTAAACAAATTTGTCGAATAAAGTGTTTAAATCTGATGAACTATTCAAAAGTTATGAAGAATATACCAAAGCAGTTATACGAGTTAGGAGAGACTGGAAATTGTTGTATTGGATTGGATTTTTAGGTATACCGAGTTGCTGTAGAGTGTTATGATGTTAGACAATATTATTTAATATTTAATTTTAAACAAATTTTCCGAATATTGTGTTTAAATCAGATGAACCGTTCGAAAGTTATGCAGAATATAACAAAGCAGTTGCACAAGAGAAGGAAAACTGGAAATTGTTGTATTGGATGGGATTTTAAAGTATACCGAGTTGCTGTAGGGTATTACAATGTTAAACAATATTATTTAATATTCAGTTTTAAACAAATTGTCTAATATTGTATTTGTAACAGATGAACTATTCAAAAGTTATTTAATATAAAACAAAACAGTTGCCCGAGTTAAGAAAAAATGTGAATTGTTGTTTTGGATGGGATTTTAAAGTACACCGAGTTGCTGTAGAGTATTGTAATGTTAGACAATATTATTTAATATTCAATTTTAAACAAATTTGTCTAATATTATATTAGCATCAAATAAACTATTCAAAAGTTATTGAATATATAACAAAACAGTTGCACGAGTTAAGAAAAAATGTGAATTGTTATATTGGATGGGATTTTTAGGTATACCGAGTTGCTGTGGAGTGTTATAATGTTAGACAATATCATATAATATTTAATTTTAAATAAATTTGTCTAATAATATATTTGCATCAGATGAACTAATCAAAAGTTATCTAGGATATAAGTAAACCATTGCACGAGTTATTTGATGTAAAGAAAAATTGAATTGTTGTATTGGATGGGATTTTTAGGTATACCGAGTTGCTGCAGGGTTTTATAATGTTAGACAATATTATGTAATACTCAATTTGAACAAATTTGTCTAATAATATATTGGCATCAGATCAACTGTTCAAAAGTTGTTGATTATATAACGAAACAGTTGCACAAGGTAAGAAAAACTTTGTATTTCTGTATTGGATGAGATTTTTTGGTATACCGAGTTGCTGTAGAGTATTATAATGTTAGACAATATTATATAATATTTAATTTTAAATAAATATATCTAATATTGTATTTGTATCAGATGAACTATTCAGAAGTTATATAAAATATAACAAAACAGTTGCACGAGTAGTAATAAATTAAATAAGAACTCTAAAAACAAGTGTAAAATTGCAATAAATTTTTAGTAAAAATAAAAACAGAAATTATTCTAGAAAATATTTATGCAATTTATTTATTACTGCCAAAAGGCAAAAACAATTAGAAATCAAATTTCTTTTCGAATTAACTAATGATTAAATCATTAACTAATAGTTGTCTAATTGACAAATTAACCAATTTTATGTAAACATCATTAGTATAACCCTTTTTCTATTAAAAATCCATTAGCAATTGCATAATTAAATATATATATATATATATATATATATATAATTCAATAAATTATTCACAAAACCGTTTATTATTCTTATATAAAAACTTGTGGTTAAAGGAATATATTTAATGTTTCATTATTTGTCACCAATGGGTAATTTTTGTAATAACTTTTAAATTATACAATTTTTTAAAAAACATATTCTACGAATTTATATTTTAATAAACACCTCATAAGACGTGATATATTTTTTTTCTGTACGAATAATAGTTTTAGAGATATTCTGGTTCAAAAAGTACAAACAAATTTCAATAACAAATTTGAAAAATAGTAATGAAAAACTAAAATTATTGGCATAGAATTTTGAAAATATTTTGTAAAGTAATAGATTTAACAATAAACATTCTTCACAACAAATAAAGCTTGATAAATCCTCAATAAAAAGTGATATTCAGATTTTTTGTACGTATAATAGTTTTAGATATATTGTTAATCAAACACTACATATGAATTTTTTTGGTACTAAAAGCAATAAGTTAAAAGATAACTATAGCTAATACTTGAAATGTTTTAAATAATTTGCAAACAAATAGATTTACTGATAAACAATATTCGGCACTTTATACCTGAATAAATTCGTAATAAAATCCTAATACATTATTTTTATATACAAGCTATGATTCAAAAGATATTTACATTTGAAACTTAGTATTACGTAATTTGTCGCCGGTGGATAATTTTTACAGTAACTACTAAACTGTGGGATTTATTAAATAAATGTATAAATATTTTACATAATTTTAGTCGAATAAATACTTAATAAAACGTGGTATTTTATTTTATTGTACGACTAATAATTTTAGAGATATTCTGGTCCAAAAAGTACAAACGCATTTCTTAATAGAAATAAATATAAACAAACTAAGGTGATTGTCTCGATTTTTTTAATAATTTGTAAACTAATAAATTTATCCATAAACTTTATTCAGCAAATTTGTAGCTTAATAAATGCTTAATAAAACCATTGTACAAACTTTTCCGATACGATCAATATTTTGAGAAATATTTTAATCGAAAACTTTAAACGCTCTGCATAGTTAGTATAGAAACCCAAATTTTTAGCCATAAATTTTAACATTATTTTGCAAACTAATAGATTTTCAATAAACTATATTTAGAACAAAAATAGCCTAATAAATACTGAGTAAAATTTACTACTAATTTTTTTATACGACTAATAGTTTTAGAGATATTCAAATCCATAATATCCAAATTTTCAAAATAAAACTTAAATTATTGACTGAGAATTTCCAAAATATTTGGCAAACTAATAAACTTATTAAGAAACTATATTCACAACAAATTTAGCTTAACACATTCCTAATAAAACCATAATACGAACTTTTTCAATACGATCAATATTTTGAGAAATATTTTAATCGAAAACATTAAACGCTCTGCATAGTTAGTATAGAAACCAAAATTTTTGGCCATAAATTTTAACATTATTTTGCAAACTAATAGATTTTTTAATAAACTATATTCAGAACAAAAATAGCTTAATAAATACTGAATGAATGTACTACTAAATTTTTCTATAAGACTAATAGTTTTAGAGATATTCAAATACAAAACGACTAATATCAAAATTATTAAAATGAAACCTAAAATTGTTAGCCGAGAATTCTAAAAATATTTTGCAAATTAATAAATTTATTAACAAACTTTATTCAGCAAATTGTAGCTTAATAAACGCTTAATAAAACGTAGTACAAGATTTTTTTGTACGACTGTTAGTTTTGAAGATATTTCAATTCAAAAATTAGTACTGCAAAAAATTTGGTACAAAAAATATACGAAACAAATTTCCAAATAACTCGAAAACCATTAATTTAATTTAAAAAAAAAATTAAACATCAAATAGCTTAATAAATACTTAATAAAACCTTAATACACAACTTTTTTGTAGGATTAATTATTTTGAAGATAGACTAATAGTTTTAGAGATATTCAAATCCAAAACCACTAATATCAAAATTGTTAAATAAAACCTAAAGCTGTTAGCCAAAAATTTTAAAAATATTTTGTGAACTAATAAATTTATTGACAAACTTTATTCAGCAAATTTGTAGCTTAGTAAACACTTAATAAAACGTAGTACAAGATTTTTTAGTACAACTGATAGTTTTAAAGATATTTCAATTAAAAATTAGTACCACAAAAAAAATTGTAATAAAATATATACGAAACAAATTTCCTAATAACTCGAAAACCATAAATTTAATTATAAAAAACTATTAAACATCAAATAAATTAATAAAACCTTAATAAACGACTTTTTTGTAGGATTAAAAATTTTGAAGGTATTTTGAACCAAAACGTAGGAACACAAACCAAAAAACCATGTGCTTTAGTGCAAAATTTAAAATAACTCAAAAACTATTAATTCAAACCCAAAACTATATTAAACATTTTTATAGCTAACAAAATTCTTAACAAATTTCTCATATATAATATTTCCACAAGCACAACAGTTTTGGAGTTATTTTCAATCAAACCTTAAGCAAAATTTTACCAAGTTTGTATACAAATTCGTTATGGTGTTAATAATGTGCAAAATTTAAAATAACTTAAAAACTATCAATTTAACTCCAAAACTATATTAAACATTTTCATAGATAAAAAAATCTTTAACAAATTTCTCATATATAATATTTCAATAGGCACAATAGTTTTTGAGTTATTTCCAATCGAACCATAAGCAAATTTTCAACAAGTTTGTATACACATTTAGCAATATTTTTTACTAAATACAGGTAAGTTTTTAATATTTATTATTCTTACCTGAAGCCATGTCCAAAGAACAATTTACACTTTAAATAAATACCAAAATATTTATTCAAACATCAGACACAAAAACGAAAACCGAAATGAATCGTTCGTCGTCTTCAAAACACAATTTATATTAGCCCCACCACACCACACCAAACCTTATGCAGAACCCACAAAACGAGTCTATGGGTTCCCATACATTTTGTATGGAAATCAAGGGCTTCAACGGCTTGGTCGCGGCATCGGGGTAATAGAATTTTGTAAAAAAAATTGCGACGATTTTTGTTCCCGACGAAATTAAACTAAGTACGCCAAAGTAGTAATAAAGGTCTAATTAATAATTAAAAAATATAATTTCATATAGTTTCGGAGCAAAAAATGCCTTAAAATTAATTTTTAAATAGGTATGATTTATTTCCTCCGCACCAACCGAATGAGTGTATGTATTTGTATAGACGTCGGAGTAAATCAGGTGCCTCAAACGTTTGGTCAAGGCAGCGGTGCACAACATTTTTCAAAAGCGATTTTGAGCACTATTTTGTACCAAAATATTTTAAACAAAATATACCAAAATGTTTCTAAAAGTCTTATTTATATATTGTAAATATAAAATTACGTAATATTTATCCAAGTTCGGGGAATTTTAATATTTTTCAACCGACCGTATGTAAATATTTACATAAGAGACTGGCAGGATGCTTCAATTGAAAGTTCTATGAAATAATAAATAAATAAATAAAAGATGTTTTGATGGATAAATTGTGTACGGGATTTTATGTTTTATTTTTTAGGCAACTAAAATTTTTAGAAATGTTTTATAAGGTTTTAAATTGCCAAAATCAAGTTTATTTAGGTTGTAAATTAATTTGTAGGCTAATTTATTAAATATAAGTAAATACATTATTTTATTAAGTTTTTATATTAAATATCATTGTGCAAATATTTTGAAAATTTTTTGTTAAATAAATTTGTTATATATATATATATATATATATATATATTTATATATATAATTAGAGTTTTTATTTTTAATATTAATATAAACAAAATTTTGAAGATTTTTGTTCCTGATACCAATAAGAATAAAGTGCAGTTTTTTTGAAAAATATTATTTTCAGCATATTAAGATTTGTTGTATATTTATCAAAATTTATATAAGTTTAGCTAAAATGTTGTTGAAGAATATACTGAAGTTTCAAAAGTTTTGAAGTTTTACTTAAATTTTAAAAATTATTTGAAATGAGTTATTATTTAAACAAAAGCTGGAGCATTGTACTTTACTAGAGTGCAGTTGTTTAGAAAATATTAATTTTAATATACTAATTTTTGTCATATATTTATAAAAAATCACACAAATTTAGCTAAGGTATAGATAAATAATATACTAAAGTTTCAAAATTATCACAGTTTTAGTTTAGTTTTAAAAATCATTTGAAATGTATAATTTTTTAAATTGAATCTGGAGCATTGTAGTTGTATATAGTGTAGTTGTTTAGAAAATATTAATTTTAATATATAAATTTCTGTCGTATATTTTTAAAAATTTATACAAATTTAGCTAAGGCATAGATGAATAATATACTTAAGTTTTAAAAGTTTTGTGGTTTTAGTTTAGTTTTAAATATTATTTGAAATGAGTAATTATTTAAACAAAAGCTGGAGCATTGTACTTTACTAGAGTGCAGTTGTTTAGAAAATATTAATTTTAATATACTAATTTTTGTCATATATTTATAAAAAATCACACAAATTTAGCTAAGGTATAGATAAATAATATACTAAAGTTTCAAAATTATCACAGTTTTAGTTTAGTTTTAAAAATCATTTGAAATGTATAATTTTTTAAATTGAATCTGGAGCATTGTAGTTGTATATAGTGTAGTTGTTTAGAAAATATTAATTTTAATATATAAATTTCTGTCGTATATTTTTAAAAATTTATACAAATTTAGCTAAGGCATAGATGAATAATATACTTAAGTTTTAAAAGTTTTGTGGTTTTAGTTTAGTTTTAAATATTATTTGAAATGAGTAATTATTTAAACAAAAGCTGGAGCATTGTACTTTACTAGAGTGCAGTTGTTTAGAAAATATTAATTTTAATATACTAATTTTTGTCATATATTTATAAAAAATCACACAAATTTAGCTAAAGTATAGATAAATAACATACTTAAGTTTCAGAATTGTGTTGGTTTAAATTTAATTTTGAAAAATATTTGAAGTATGACTTTGTTTTTAAAAAAATCTTGAAGTTAGAAGTGTCTAGTGTGCAATTGTTTAGAAAATATTAATTGTAATATATTAATTTTTATTATATATTTATAAAAATTTATACAAATTTACTTAAGGTATAGATAAATAATATACTTAAGTTTCAAAATTGTGTTGGTTTAAGTTTAATTTTAAAAAATATTTGAAATATGATTTTGTTTTTTGAAAATCTTGAAACTAGAAGTGTCTAAAATGCAATTGTTTAGGAAATATTAAATGTAATATAATAATTTTTGTCGTATATTTATAAAAATTCACGCAAATTTAGATAAAGTGTTAATAAATAAAATACCAAAGTTTCAAATTTACCGTGGTTAAAGTATAATTTTAAAAATTATTTGAAATATGTTACTTTTTAAATTAAATTTAAAAGATTGCAGTAGTCTAGTGTGCAGTCGTTTAGAAAACATAAATTTTAATATATTAATTTTTGTGCTATATATACCAAAACTTGTGTAAATTTAGCTAAGGTATAGATAAATATTATACTAAAGTTTCGAAATTGTTATAGTTTTAGTTTTATTTTAAAAAAATATTTGAAATGTGTCTTGTTTTAAACAAACTGAAGGATTTTTATTCTTACAATTAGGAACAAATTGGTTCAGCATTTGAAAAAATATTATTTTTGCACAATAATTTTAACCAAAATGTTATAAAAATTTGTACCTAAAGTGTTCATAAATAATATACTAAAGTTTCAAAATTATCATAATTTTAGTTTAATTTTAAAAATTATTTGAAATACGTCAAAGATATCTATCTCAAAAATATTAATTTTAATATAATAATTTTCATTGAATATTTATAAAAAATTACGAATATTTAGCTAAAGGAATGATAAATAAAATACTACAGTCTCAAATTTATCATAATCATAGTTTGATTTTAAAAAATATATGAAATATGTCACTCTTTAAACTACAAAACGTGTTTGTACAAATTTTAATAAAAAATCACTAATATTTTTTTTAAATAAAAAACTGCACTAATTTGTATTCTTATTGTCTAATAGTTTTGGTCACAAAAATTGAACTAATTTATAATTCTAGTAGACGAATTAATTATCATTTCAAGACGTGACCTAAAAGGTTAAAGAATTCTTGACGAGCTATTTTTATTATTTTTGTAGTAAAATAACAGAAAAACGTACTAATAATTATCGAAAAAAACAAATAATTTTATATTAAATAAATAAATAATATCTATATAAAATAGATAAAATATTCAAATTCTATAAAGTATATCTTCTTGATTTATCTATTTTTATCTATTTATTAACAAATAATTATTAAAATTCAACAAAAATGTAATTATTATAATTTTAATTTGTGAAAAAAATTAATATAAAACGATTGTGACAACTTTTGTTTAACAAAACTGTGAGCAAAAATAAAATATGTAAAGATGAAGAGAAAAAGACTATTCATATACTTATTTTAAATTAATTTATACGAAAAAATATTGATAAAAAACTATATGAAAAATGAAATTAATGTAAATATTAGATGATACAATGATAATAATGATTTTGGATGTTATTTGAAAAATTAATATTAAAATGTGTTACAAATTTTGTAAATATTGCAGTGTCGGTCGAAGATCTATCCATGGATTTTTATATAAATAGTATAATATAAAAGTTTTGAATAAAACGACTTTGAATTTGATATTTGATTATTTAGCATAATAATTAGAAAATTCGGGATATTTTTTTGCTTTTTGTTAAATGACTCAAAAATTTCACATGGAACTACCCTTTTTCGGTTAGACAGGGTGAAGCTAGATAAAATTTACAACATTTCCTAGGAAACACTTTTATACACTCCGATATAAAATTTTTGATTAAAACGACTTTGAATACCATTTTTCCTTCTTATTTTTTCATTACCGATTGAGTTATTTGATGCTTTCTATATGAGTATGCAAATTAATATTACATTTTTAGTGAAAGAGTTAAAACAGCAAATCGCGAGCACCACAGTTCGATGGCAAATTAAAAGTGTTATATAACCGACTTTTTGAATTTCTAAAATATCTCAAAGCGTTCTCGAGATATTGCATTTTTAAACATTTCGATTTCGCAGGATCCATATTGACTTTTTACAACTTTAAAAATTTGCAAAGTGTAAAAATGCAATTTTATAAAAACTATTGTAGATATTTTGGTGATTCAAAAAGTTGTTCTAGGAGCATTTTTAATTTGCCATCGAATAGTAATACTCCCAATTTGATACAATCTAATATCTAGATCAACCCATATACTTTAAAATCCCAACTGAAAATAGATGACATGCAAGAAAGTAAAGAAAAGCCCCAGAGACCCATTTTAATACATTTTTTTCAATTTATATTTATTAAAAATATAACATAATATATTATTACTTTATATGCTAAAAACATAAATCTACAATACTGTTTCATTGCATTCTTGAAGTACTTAGTAGTAAAAATATAGAGTTTAGGGAAAATATAGTTTAAGGAAGAAATTTATATAGACGTAGATATTCAAAAAAAGACCTTAACTGACTGTAAACAAATATTTTTGTAATACTATCAAATTGAATTTTTAAAATTTATAATAATACTTAACAAAATTCAATTAAAGTCTTTAGTTAAATTTTTAATAATAAAAATTTAATACCTAGAGACCATAGACAACCTGGTGTCTAAATTTCAACTATTTTTTTCCTATTTTTTTTTGATCTGGTAAAATAAGGTCTTTGATGTCCTGTTCGTCCATATCGACGTCCCCATAGCCCCAAATTTGGGTCTCTTCGGCATGTGGGTCTAAAATAAATGACCCATCACCTGATCGAAGGGCCCTTCGGACTATCATTCTTCTGGAAACTGATTTACCTAAAAAAAAAAAAATAACACCGAAGAATATGAAATTTTTATTCAAAAATAATAATGAATAGATAAAGTTTAATTTGGTTTATATAAAGTTGGTTTTAGTCAGGCCTGTGTACTATTTATAGTACTAAAAAGCTGTTTAGTATGTCTCTTGTAACTTTTGAACAGATTATTTGATGTGAATAGTGTTTTTGGTAAAATTATGGAAAATTAAATTTTCTATAATATTGTTTAATATAATAATGCTCTACAGCAACTCGGTACACTTTAAAATTGCTTTTGCATACAGACTTTATTATAGTCCATTATTTATAGTGCATGTATGAATTGCAATGCATTTATTTAGTATATCTCTTTTGAATAGCTGGTTTAATGTTAATAGTATTTTTGGCAAATTTGCTCAAAATTAAATTGTTTATAATATTGTCTAATACAAAAAAGCCCTACAACAACTCGGTATACTTTAAATACGCTTTTAAAAACCAAATTTGGGTATAAAGTCTTGAAAATGCATATGTTTCCTAAAAGGTTTATAAATCCTAAAACCATTCGATTTTTATTATTGGAGCTCAAAGCAAATTTGTTTAAAATTAAATTATTAATATATTCTTGAAACAACAAAATATCCTACAACTACTCTCTGTACTTAAAAATTATAAAAAAATATCAAACCTTAAAAGTATTACTTTATAAAAACATGTGAAATTGTTTCTTATATCTCTTGTAACTTTTAAACGGTTTGTTGAATTTTAACAAAATATTATACAAATTTGTGTAAAATTATATAAATAATAATTTTGTCTAATATTATATAACCCTACAGCAACTCAGTATACTTTAAAATCGTTCTTGAATACAGAAGTTTGTTTGGGGTCTATTTATTTAAATTAATTACTTATATAGAGTGTGTGCAGTGCATTTGTTTGGCAAATCTTCTGTAACTTTTGAATTTTTCGTAACTTTTATAAAGTACAAGTAAAGTATAAACAATATTCAGTGAATTTATGCAAAATTAAATTGTTAATAATTTTGTCTAATATTATAAGACCCTACAGCAACTCGGTATACTTTAAAATTGCTTTCAAACGCATAATATTGTGATGAGTGTATTTATAATTTATAGTACCTATTTTATGTTTTTATTTACCATATCTCTTGTAACTTCTAAACAAATTGTCTAATTTAAAAAGTGTTTTTGGCAAATTTGTTTAAAATTGAATTGTACATAATATTGTCTAATATCATATAACCCTACAGCAACTCGGTATACTTTAAAATCGGTACTTACGATCGTAAGCCCATCCTATTCTTGCAAAGAAATCTATGAGGCCTGTTGTTGGATTGAAAGTGTACCCTCCTAGTTCACCTTGGAAATAAAATAGAAGTTATATATATATATATATATATATATATATATATATATATTTATATAATAATAATTTACCTGTTTTATAATCATATGGAAAAACATGATGATAATTGTGCCAACCTTCACCAAGGGCTGCAATTGCAACCCCTAAGTTTTCCACTGGACTTATATTTCTAAAAAAGAAAAAAATATATATATACATATATATATATATATATATATATATATACATGTATAAAAATAAATAAATAACATATAAAACAATAAAAATTCCAATTATTATGCATAGTTTCAATTATGATTCCAATTAGAATCAAAGCACTCAAACCAAATTTTCTTATTAGAATTTGAAATAACTATCAAATTTCGACGATTTATATTTGACTAAAATTTTACTCACTTGTCATAAGGTTTCTGGCCCCACATATGTGCAACACTGTTCACAAAAAATGCAATATTTAGGGTCAAACAGAACCTAAAATTAAAATTGACCCAAAAAGAAACCCATAGGTCTTCTTGCCAAAAATACCAAGGCGCCAAAACCGGTAAACCTATGGCCAATAGGGCAAATAGAGGGATGTAAAACCTAAATAAATAAATAGATAAATTAATAATTAAGTAATAAGTTAAATAAAAATATTATTTTGAGTGCAAATACCTTTTTTGCCACATGACTACTGCATCGGCTTCCAAGTCACTCATATCAACCTGAAAGGGATTATCAATGTTTAAGTAAGTTTTAAAAGTATACCGAGTTGATGTAAAGCATCATAATCTTAGAAAGACTTTAAGACTATATAATTTTATATAACTTTGCAAAATAATTCATTCAAATCCAACAAACCCTTCAAAAGTTACAACAGATTTTATGAACAAATCCACACCTCGACTAGTGGCGACTAAGTGAGTTTACAGTTTTCAAAGTCATTTTTAAGTATACCGAGTTGGTGTAGAACATTATATTCTTAGAAAGACTTCAAAAGTATATAATTTTGTATAAATCTGCAAAATAATTCATTCAAAACCAACAAACCATTCAAAAGTTACAAACAGATACAATAAACAAAGGCACACCTTGACTAGTGGCGACTAAGTGAGTTTACAGTTTTCCAAATCATTTTTAGAGTATACCGAGTTGTTGTAGAACATTATAGTCTTAGAAAGACTTGAAGACTATTCAATTATGTATGAATCTGCAAAATAATTCATTCAAATCCAACAAACCCTTCAAAAGTTACAACAGATATATTAAATAAATTCAGACCTTGACTAGTGGCGACTAAGTGAGTTCTCAGTGTACAAAGTGATTTTTGAGAATACCGAGTTGATGTATGGCTTTATAATATTAAAAAAACTTTGAGACTATACAATTTTGTATATATCTGCAAAATAATTCATTCAAATCCAACAAACCGTTTAAAAGTTACAACAGATATAATAAATAGATTCACACCTTGACTAGTGGCGACTAAGTGAGTTCTCAGTGTACAAAGTCATTTTTAAGTATACCGAGTTGCTGTAGAACATTATAATCTTAGAAAGACTTTAAGACTATATAATTTTGTACAAGTTTGCAAAATAATTCATTTAAATCCAACAAACCGTTTAAAAGTTACAACAGATATAATAAATAGATTCACACCTTGACTAGTGGCGACTAAGTGAGTTCTCAGTGTACAAAGTCATTTTTAAGTATACCGAGTTGCTGTAGAACATTATAACCTTAGAAAAACCTAAAGACTATATAATTTTGTATAAATTTGCAAAATAATTAATTCAAATCCAACAAACCCTTTAAAAGTTACAACAGATATAATAAAACAAATGCACACCTTGACTAGGGGCGACTAAGTGAGTTCTTAGTTTTCAAAGTCATTTTTGAGTATACAGAGTTGCTGTAGAGCATTATAATCTTAGACAGACTTTAAAACTATATTATTTTGTATAAATCTGCAAAATAATTCATTCAAATCCAACAAACCCTTCAAAAGTTACAAACAGATATAACAAACAAATGCACACTACGCCTTGTCGCTTCTAAGTGACTTCTTAGTTTTCAAAGTCATTTTTAAAGTATACCGAGTTGCTGTAGGGCTTTACAACCTTAGACAAACTTAAAGACAATACAATTTTACACAAATCCTCAAAATATATTATTACCATCCAACCAATTCTTATAAAATTACAACTAATTTTTTATCCGTACCTGTTTCCTTTTAAGTACAACATTAGGATGTGGTGTCAAAACAAGCCAACCCACATGGGCGAAAAAAAATCCACGTTTTGCATTGTGAGGGTCCGAATCCGTCTCTGAATATTTGTGATGAACCCTGTGATCTAAGGCCCATGTGTAAGCATCCCTCTGGGGAAAAAAATCATGAAAATAAAAAAATTCAAGGTACAAACTAAAAAAATCGAGGTACAAACTAAAAAAATCGAGGTACAAAACTACAAAAAATCACAAAATGTAGTTGAGTTCTGGGTTTTGGAATCAAAGATTATGGAATACAAGATAAAATATTCATAAAACAAGTACTTAAAAATCACTGTATTATATCTTTTACAATTTTCTAAAACCAAAAGTGGCCCGAAAAGACGTCCTTGAGGAACTCCTTGAAACAAAAAATCTTCCTTTTCTACGAAACTTGATAGAAATGAGCAATTTTAACGCGATTTTAATGCAGTTTTTTACGTCTATTTCATAGCATTATGTATTTATTTTATTTTTTTACCTGTCCAGTGATGGTAAAGAGAAACATGAGTATGGTCCTCAATTGCCAAGTCGCTTTGTATGACCTATGAGACCACAAACGGTGTGCGCCTGCGGTGATTCCGAACCCGGATAATATCACAGTAGAAAATGCTATGGAAAAATAAACATAGATGGAGATAATTGATATGTATATATATATATATATATATATATATATATATATATGTAGAGTTTCGAACAAGAATCCAAAAGTAATAAAAAACAAGAAAGGTTTTTTAATAAACAATTTCTTTATTTATTTATTCATTTACTGTCGACGTTTCGGAACTAGGTACGTTCCATCTTCAGGACATCTGTATGTTTGAATATATCTTAGCACTTTTTCACTAAACAAGATTTTAACAAAAAATCAATTTATGAGTTATTTTTTCAGCCGAATAGTTGAATTTTGTAACTCAAAATTATTATTATATTTTTAAAATTATTATTTGAAAAACACAAACATATTTTTCTCTCGATATTATGAGATCGGCTATTTGAAACGAACGTTAGTTCTTGTTTTTTATTACTTTTGGATTCTTGTTCGTAACTCTACAAAATATACACAAATCCAAGACTCTACCATTTATATATATATATATATATATATATATATAATTTATTATAAAATTAATATGCATATCAATTTGTATTAATTTGTTTGATTAGAGAAGAGTTAAAGATTGGAATTAAAAATGATATATTTTGTAGACTTATAGTTCTTTATTTGCATTGTAGAGAAAAATATTATTCATAAATGCTTTAAATATTTTACTCTAGTTTTTGAAAGTGTTAACTAATTTTAAACAAGATAATTTGTTAAAAAGCAATATTAAAAATGTTTAAAAAACGTCACGATTACCTTAAGAAATTGTGGGTTAATATATCACTTTCAGTTCTCAGACTTATAGTTTTTTTGTTTTGTAACATAGAAAAAATGTTGTTAATAGATGTTTAAGACAATTTTATCTAGTTTTTGACAGTGTTAACTAATTTTTAACAATTTTTTTTTTTTAAAAGTTATATCAAAAATGCTATTATGATATAATATTATTAGTTCTTAAGACTTGTAGTTCTTTTGCTATATAAGATAAAAGATAATATTATTAATGAAATTTTGAGATAATTTGATATGGTTTTTAATAGTTATAACTATTTTTGGACAAGATAATTAATTAGAAAGTTATCTAAAAATGCTGAGAAAGAAGAACTTACTAGAAGAAATTGTTTGATATAATATTTTGGGTTCTTAGGCTTATAGCAATTTATCAGTAAATATAATATAATATAAGAACTATCGACTTTTATTCAAAACTTTTATATTGGAGTGTATAAAAGTGTTTTCTAAAAAACGTTGTAAATTTCCTTTAGTTTCACCCTATCTAACTAAAAAGGGGTAGTTCCATATGAAATTTTTGAGTTATTTGACAAAAACCAAAAAAATGTCCCGAATTTTATATATTTATTGCTTAAGAATGAAATATCGGATTCAAAGTCAATATAATATATAAAAATTATTTATTAACCAATTCTTTAAATAATTTTATCTTTCGTTTTCAATGATGCAAAATAAATCTAATAAAATTCACCAAGCAAAAAGTTACACGAAAAATATTAAACAAATGCATACAAACTTTGTAATAAATTGTATGAAATAATCAATATATCTAGTTTATATATATATATATATATATATATATCTAACAATTACTGACTGTAAAATAAATATTTACAAATAGAACAATTTTATATTTGCTTTGAAAATAGAACTTGATTAAATTAAAATCAAATATTTGATAAGGCGATATGATTAAAATGCATTTTATAGTGATCATAAATTTATAATTATATATATATATATATATATATATATATTATATATATAATATAATTCAATATTTTTATTACATAAATAAACTCTAATTGGCTACATTTGATAACCGAAACAATTTGTATAAATTCCATATTAAATTGAACAAAACATTTGATAAAAAATGAGCAACTTGTTAATAATTAAACATTTTTTTTAGTAAAAGTTAAATTTAAAAGAAAATTTGGATAAAAAGTGATAGATAACAGCAACTAGAAAATTTCGACAAAAATAATTAAGTTTTTTTTAGTTTGAAATAAAAATTGGACTAAAAATTGGGTAAAAATGAGCAACTTGTTAATAATTAAGTTTATTTTTAGTAAAAGTTAAATTTAGAAGAAAATTTAGATAAAAAATGGTAGAAAACAGCAACAAGAAAATTTGGACAAAAATAATACAGTTTTTTTTAATTTGAGTTAAGTTTGAAATAAAAATTAGACAAAAAATTGGTTAAAAATGAGCAACTTGTTAATAATTAAGCTTTTTTTAGTAAAAGTTAAATTTAAAAAAAAAGTGGGATGAAAAATGATAGAAAACAGCAACAAGAAAATTTGGACAAAAATAATTAAGTTTTTTTTAGTTCGAGTTAAGTTTGAACTAAAAATTGAACAAAAAAATTGGATAAAAATGAGCAACTTGTTATTAATTAATTTTTTAGTAAAAGTTAAATTAAAAGAATGATGCAAAACAGCAACAAGAAAATTTGGACAAAAATAATTAAGTTTTTTTTAAGACAAAAAAATTGGGTAAAAGGTCAAAAACTTATAAAAAGTTATATCATTTTTAACAAATAAGTGCACGTTTGCCAAATTCACTCTTGCAAATTTCAGTACATATTTAAATTTAATTTATAAGTATACCGAGTTGTCCCAGGTTATTAAAATGTTCACAAAATTTAAAGATCATTTAATTTTGTACAAATTTGTCAAAGACACCAATTATATAATTTCATTAGTTTAAAAGTTAAATAATTTGTAACAAATAAAAGCACTAAGGTTACTGATTATTCTTAGTTAAAAACATTCAATCGGTGATGGGAACAACCACACTCTCGAAACGTAACTTTTTAATTTTATTTTTAGGTAAATAATGGTATGAAATACTAGCAAAAACTATAAAAATATTATTATAACAATTAAAAATAGTGACATTAAAAATAAAATAATAATATTGTTGATTATGTCATGATAAATTTAATATTTTTGATACTATTTTTTAAATCATTTTTTGTAGTTTTGTGTACTCAAGAAGAGTGAAATATTATCCTATATATATATATATATATATATATATATATATATATATATTTATGTATCTATTATCAACTTACCCCATAAAATAGTTTTATATTGTGCCTTAGTCAAAACCAAATAAAATCCATAAACAAATCCTAAATGTATAAACAATTGCACTATAGTATCTGGCCATCTGATTTTTGGTACAAATTCTTCTACCAAATCATTTTTGGTGTCATTTTGGACATCTAATTTATCATCTAAAATAATTTCTGGATCATCTTTGGTGTCATCTTCAAAAGACACCGATTTTTTTATGGAAATTGGTGAAGAATTTTCGATGGAATTCGATTTTATGATTGTGCGCTTTTTTAGGGAAATATTTTTGTTGGTGTCTTCTACATTGTCAGAAAAATCTGTAAAGGAAAAATAGATTATTTGGTTGAATTTTTGGCAAATTTATCCTGTTTTTTACTCCAATTTATATCATGAATTTATTATTTTTTACCTTTGTCTGGTGGTAAAACTGTTACATTTTCAGCTCCATCATTTTCACAAGTTTCCAATTTCAATCTATTTTTTTCCTCTAACTTAGAACAGTCTTCGATTAAATTATAACTAAAATCTTTTAACTTTGCACCTTTTTCTAGTTCCAGAAAATTTTGCATCTGATTTGTAGCTTCCAAACGAACCATTTTGAAAACTTAGAAATTCCTGAAAAAAAAATTTAGTTAAATTCAATTTGTAATTCAAGTTGCTTTTCTACATCTTTTACATATATATGTATATTTTCTATATCGATTTTCCATAGTGTTTTTTTCCTAACATTACGAGCACAAATTTAATAATATATCTGGTCAGTAGGTCTTTTATCGATTCGTCAAACATTCCTTCCAACAAATTACTATTATATGGTCAACGACTATTTACTATTTATTTCGTGTCCGAGGCAATTTAGATTTTTAGTACTGATTATTTGTAGTACAATTCGTATCATTATCAGGTGAATTATTTAATATTCTCAGAAAAAATATAATAGAAATAGAATAGAAATAAAATAATATTTTTGTTCAAATTTCATCTTCACTTTTCTTGAGTACACAAAACTACAAAAAATGAATTTAAAAAATGGTATCAAAAATTATTATTATTATTAATTATTTATTTTTAACATCACTATTTTTAATTGCAATAATAATATTTTTATTACTTTTGCTAGTGTTACATACTATTATTTACCAAAAAATGTTAAATTTGCAGAAATACGTTTCGAGAGTGTGGTTGTTCCCATCACCTATTGAACGTTTTTAACTAAGAATAATCAGTAACCTAAGTGCATTTAATTGTTATAAATTATGTAACTTTTAAACTAATAAAGTTATGTAATCGATGTATTTGACAAATTGGTTTAAAATTAAATTAACTTTAATATTTGTGAACATTATAATAACCTATGACAACTCGGTATACTTATAATTTAAATTTACAAGATGTACTGGAATTTGCAAGAGTAAATTCAGCAAACGTGCTGAATTAAATAACTTTTGCAATAATGAAGTTATATAATTCATGTATTTGACAAATTAGTTTAAAATTAAGTTATCTAAAACATTTTCTAACATCAAGAAATCCTACACCAACTCGGTATACTTTTAAATTTAAATTGAAACTAGAAAAGCTAGAAATTTATTTGTAATTTAAATTATATAACTTTTAAGCTATTGAAGAAATATTATTAAAAAAAATGTGATTTATAATAATTTATTTATAATAATTAATTTAAGTTCAATGAAAAATCGAAACTCGAAGTAAATGTAACAAATGTCCATTTATTTGTGATATAATTTATATAACATTTAAACTATTGAAGAAATATAATTTAAAAAAATGTGATTTATAATAATTTATTTATAATAATTAATTTAAATTCAATGAAAAATCGAAACTCGAAGTAAATGTAACAAATGTCCATTTATTTGTGATATAATGTATATAACTTTTAAAGTATTGAAGAAATATAATTAAAAAAAATGATGAAAGTGATCATATTGTTTTATTTATAATAATTAATTTAGATTTAATGAGATGTCAATAATTATTATAATAATTAATTTTAATTTAATGAGATGTTAAATTTATTTTAAATAAATAAATAAGAACATTTTAAGCAAAGCATAAGAATGCTTTTACTTTGATTGCAATTTATGTTTAATTAGGCCCTTGAAATGATAAAAATGACAAGAACTGTTTTACTTAAGTTGGTAAACAATAGTATATATATATATATATATATATATATATATATATATATATATATATATAATATTAGAGTATTCTAATTTTCCTATGAGTAAATAATATGAGTAATAAAGCCATAGGCCGCTCCTATTTATTTTATATATCATATATATATATATATATATATATATATATATATATATAAAAATAATTACGTAGGCGTTCATAGTATATGACATTGAATGAAGTCTTATAAAATGACATAATATAGTTTATGACCAAAATAAATATATATATCCACATAAAAATATAAGAAAATGCAATATAAATATATATATATATATATATATATATATATATGATTTAATTAATAATGTCATTAAGTATTTAACAAAAAACAGCTAAAAATTTAAAAACATTGACCACTCTTGATAACGTATGAACTATTAAGTTTAAGAATTTTTTAAAAATAAATTTGTTATAAGTATTATGATTGAAAATATACAGTATTGTAGTAAATTGTATTAGCTTTTTAACAATATATAATACTATATATGTATTCTAACAAAATTTTTCAAAAAACAGCTAAATATATAAAAATTACCCACAGTTAACATATGAACTAGCGCTTTAACGAAAATCGTCATCATCGATACTTAAAACATAAGTTTAAGCATTTTTTAATATATAACTTTGTTCGAAATGTTATAAAGTAATTTATACAGTAATATAGTGAATTTTATTAGCTTTTTAACAATATATAATATTATATATGTATTCTAACAAAATTTAACAAAGATATAGCAAAATATACAAAAAATTGTGACCCCCAATCAACAAATCACAAGTTTAAGCATATTTTTACAAAAGTTTGTCTGAATTGTTGTAAAATAAAATATATAGTTTTATTGTAAATTTTATCTTTTCAGCAATATATAACACTTTAGGTACGTTCATATAAAATTTTACAGAATAAATATTTCAAACACGTTTGTCCTAAAAATTCATCCAAAACAATAAAGAAAGCGATTACGTGATCTTAATAATAAAATTTTAAATTCTGAGAAATTAATTTCACTTGTATCAAATATGATAAAAATAATAATAAAAAGTACATTTGATAATTTCAGTTTTGTATATAAAATTTGCCTAATATTTAAACCAAAAGATTTTAGCCTACAAGCTCTTAAAAAGTATGCAATTTATTAGTTTTTCACGGTTTTCCTCAATTTTTTATCAAGGGACTCCTAGGTCTTAATTAATATAAAGTAGTGCGTGTCTTGTATTAATTAATAATTAAGGTTTTTAGCATAAAAGCTATAAATTTTGCACTTTCATGAAGCCATTTGTATCAATTTGTAAATTGATAAGAAATCGCACTTCGCCTTTATTTATGATGGGAATCTTATTGGAGTCAGTCACGAAAGGAATATTTATATGTAAATATATATATATATATATATATATATATATATATATATATGTATATGTCAGTATATTAATGGATTAATTAATTATTCACACTAATGTATCGTAAAAGTTACTTAAACTTTGCCATTGAATACAAAAGCTGATAGTTCATATGTCAACAATGGTTATTTTTTTATATTTAGCTGTTTTTTTGTTAGAATTTGTTAGAACACATATATAATATTATATATTACCGAAAAGCCGATATACTTTAATACTGTATATTTTAGTTTATAACCTTTTGAACAAATTTATGTTAAAACAAATGCTTAAACTTGCAATTTGTTTATCGATGGTGACGAACTTTGTGTACTTTGCTAATTAATTCTTAAATTTTGTTAGAATACATATATAATATTATATACTGTTGAAAAGCTATTAAAATTTACTATATTACTGTATAGTTTTGATTTAAGACATTTTAAACAAAATTATATATTAAAAAATGCTTAAACTTATGTTTTAAGGATTGATGATGACGATTTTCGTTAAACTGATAGTTCAACAGTGGGAAATTTTTTAATTCTGCTTTTTATAAAAAATTGTCAAAACACATATATAATATTATATATTGTTGGAAAGCTAATATAATTTACTAAATTATTGTATATTTTGATTTATGACATTTCGAACAAAGTCATATATTAAAAAATGCTTAAACTTATGATTTGAGGATTGATGATGACGATTTTCGTTAAACTGATAGTTCATAAGTAAACTGTGGGTAATTTTTTAATTCTTAACTGTTTTTTGTAAAAATTTGTTAGAATATATATATATATATATATATATTATATATATTGTTAGAAAGCTGATAACATTTACTACCACACTCTGTATTTTATATTATAACATTTAGAACAAATATTAATTTTAAAAAATGTCTAAACTTTGATAATCAAAAAATTTATGCGACAAAATTTGATTGCATTTTTTTATAATTTATACTTTTTTGTTAAATTTAGTACTATTACATATACATTACATATACAGTCTATAAAAATTGTTTAAATTTTGGAACAAAATTATTAACAAATAAATGGTAATTTATTAATTAATGCTAATTTAATTGTTAACTTTGAAAATTGACTACAAAATCTAACAATACTGAAGACTAAATATTTAAATTTTTGTTTAACTTTGTTAAAATTTAGTAAATAATACATACAATTATATAAACCGTTGAAAAGCTACTAAGATTTACTTTTAACAAATATAAATTTTTGAGAACTTTTAGAACAAAATTATTTACAAAAAATCAATTACTTTCAGAATCAGACTTTTTAAATATTACATGTCCGTTTTTTCTACCTTTTTATTTTTATTTTTAGCGAATATATTTACTAGAATTAATTGTTGTTTATGTCATTTAAAAGCTTACAAAATTTATAATAAATTGATATAATTTTCTCTTAGAACAAATTTGTACACAAAATCTACAAATACATCAAGCTTTTACTCAAGAGCTTTTATACCAATTTTTAATCATACTACTAAAAGTACTTTTACAAAATAATTGTATCATATGAATTTAATTATTTTATGTTCATTCTAATCAATAACACTTTATTATGTATTGATTTAAAGGTCAGATTTAAATAATCACTAAAAGGAATTTTACTGACCCGATAACGTATACAAATGTGTAAAAAATCCATTACAAGAGGAAACAGTCAGATACATTTGGGTGCAATTTTAAGGTACACCGAGTTGCTCTAGGTCATTATGATGTTAGAAAATTTTATTTGTAATTCAATTTTAAACAAATTTGTTGAATATTGCATCAAGTTTAAGCAAACGGTTTTAAAGTTACAAGAGATTTAACACAATTAAGCATCTAGTTACAAATGTCTATTTACTATATACAGTACTGGTAGATTTTGGATTTAATTACACGAAATTTTCCACAAAACCCTCAGTGAACTTATGATATACCAAAAATCGTGCTTTGTACATTTATTTTCCATCACGATTCCATAATTCACACTTTCGATTTAATATTCAGA